TACTGCTGCTACTGTTGCTACTGCTAGTGCGACTACTACAATTGCTAGTCCTAGTACTAAAACTAGTATTAGTACTGGTGTACCTCTGCTACTACTACTTACTACTACTTACCACTTACTACATACTCCTTACTACTTACTCCTTACGACTTGCTACTTACTACTTACCTCTTACGGCTTACTGCTTACTGCTTGCTGCTTACTGCTTACCGCTTACTGCTTACTGCTGACTACTACTACTACTACTACTACTACTACTACTACTACTGCTGCTACTACTACTACTACTACAAATACAACAACTACTACTACTACTACTACTACTACTACTACCTCTACTACTACCACCACTACTACTACTACTACTACTACTACTACTACTACTACTTCTACTTCTACTTCTACTTCTACTTCTACTTCTACTTCTACTACTACTGCTTCTACTACTACTACTACTACTACTACTACTACTACCACTACCACTACCGCTACCACTACCACTACCGCTACCACTGCCAGTACCACTCTTGCGACTACTACTAGTACTGCTACGACCTGGCTAGCCTGCGGGCCACCTGCACGGACATCCTGATGGGTCTCGGGGCCGTATTTTTGGTTTGTCAGTACCGCACATAGCCATCGCCATGACCGTCGCACGAGCAAAGGCGGATTCACGCTGCTGACCACATGCTTTCCAAGCGCTTTCCTCCTTACACTGCTCCAGAGGATAAAATGCTTACCCCCAAGCACTGGCGGCTGCATGCTTCTTTGCCCCAAACAGTGGTGGATTTACTGGCCCCAAAAAACAAAGAGGGAGGGTATTTAGAAGCACACACAAAAACTTACTCTATTTCCCCAGATACTGCTGCGATTGCATGCAGGGTTTCCCAAACAATGTGGCAGCTCACAGCAGGCACGGGGGCACAGTGATCTTGTGCAACTGCCCCGAACACGGCGCAGCAGAAAGCTGTCCCCAGAAGCATCTTGCCGTCTCGCGCCCCCGGAACCACCGATCTCTGCATGTTTGGCGGAACCCCCAACTACCGATGGGGTTCAAAGTGCTTTCCACCTACTACTGCCAAAACTCGCGGATCCCGGACCGTGCTCGCAGCAACCAATGCTTTCTGCACTCTTGTCGCAACCCGCTCGCACTGATGGGCCAACATGGTCTTCCACAAGTACTGCCGGATCCCGAAGCACAACCAACATGCTCTCCCCCCGAGCAAAAACTGGCCGTTCCAAAAGCACGGCAAAAGGCTGTCTCGCGACCCAGAGGCTTCGCAGGCGCTGGATCCCCACCACCGCAGGAAAAAAACAAAAAAATCCACAGACGCAACAAAAAAACATTGAAAGTTTCCACCAATAAATCCAATAACGACACAAGTAAGGAAGCATCAACCTAACAAGCCGCTTGCATTGTGAAACATGCCTTTGGAGCCCAAGGCGCAGCTGCATAGTTTATCTTGGGTTCTCGAGCACAGTCGGGAACACCATCACAAAATGAGGCGTTCGGAATTCGATCATTCTTTTCACAGGTTCCGACCACCCAATTGAAATGAGGTCTCCAACCACAGCAGCTTGTTCGAGCATTCAGCGAAGATACATACCTGAGAAGGCGGAGGACACTTGCAGCGAACAGGACTTACTGTCTTGTGAAAGCCGTGCATGACAACGAGCCGTGATCTTGGGCTACGGAGCTCCACCACTTGGCGAGCGAGGTCCCACAAATTGGTCGCCACGGCAAACAAGAAAATCGAAGCAAACGCAAAACCGCAAGCGAGCACGCTTGAAACTACGCTTGAACGGCTTGCTGAACTTGAAGACGCGTCGCTGGCACTGCAAATTGGTCGTGTCCTTACTTGTGAGATACTCGGCGAAAACCTTATGATATAATTGCTCTCTGTCCCAGCTTGCTTCACCGAGACTCTGAAACACCAGGCATATCTGCTTCTGGCCTCGGGGCGAAGCTTCTCGAGGTTTCCGCTTCGCATCGCCGAAGCTTCTTCGCCAAACCTTCTGCTGATTCGAAGCCCTTCGCCTCCAGCTGCGAAGATGTCGCATGTGTTAGGTCTTCCCACCCTGCGACAAGCTGAACCCGGCGCCTGGAGGTACCTTTTGCAGGCAGACTTCGGAGATCCGGCATCTTCAGCAGATGGTGCAGGTGTCGATAATGATGCGGCCTGCTCTGATTCTTCCGTACGCTCTGGCTTGGATTCGGCACTGCTACGGGCACAGTGTTGGCAATACTCTCTCCTGCCTGTCTGCAGCAGTCAAGGAACTTGCCACTCACAGTAGGGCAGCAATCGCCACTCAAAGTCGAGCACTCCGCATGAGAGGAGCCTGAGCTGGGCATGTCGATCCTCAAACATTCAAATTATCCGGTGTCGTTACATCAGCGCTTGTTGTATCATGTTGTATCATTGCATCCACATTGCATGCAGGTGAAGCTTGTTGGCACTCACATGCCACTGAAAAAATCGCCAGCCACCGTGAAGCCAACGAAACCCACTGCCAAGCACCCTCGGCCATAGCTCCGTTGGGGCGCTGCCCGGACCGAAACAGTTTTGAAACGTTTTGCTTCTGACTGCGCTCACATGTGTCCTTATCGTAGACCATGAAACTCGTGGTCAATGAAATTTCTTGACTTGTGCACCAAGTTCAGGTTCCTCGTGCTAGAAGGATTTCCCAGCGCTTGACCTTGCAGCAGTTCCAGGCCTTCTCCCAGTCGTCGTCATCTTGCCTCGGAAGCTCGGTCCTTGCTTAGCGACAACAACGTCAAGTGGCCGAGAGCGAAGCGCGTCACCGACCTCAGACACAACATCTGTTCCAGACGCAACATTTGCCCCACGCATTTGCCAAAAGAACATGTTTCGTGCAAACCCAGGTCGCAAACACTTGTCATCTCACCGCCTGGTGCGAGTCTCAGTCGTGGGACAGCTTGCCAGGCTTTGGAACTAAGACAGCTGCTCTTCGCTGCGTTGAAAGTCTTGGCAAACTCGTCGGCCTCGCCAACTCAAACTCACTTAGCGCACAATTCATGATCTACAAACAGCGGGCGGCCAATTCTTCTGTCTTGAAGCGGAGAGCGAACTTTTCCACCTTCAAGAAAAACTGCTTACTACAGCAGAGATAGGCCTCATGACACATGCAAGATTCGGGTAAGGTTAGTAGAGTGCCCATCCTTTTGCTCCTCATCTGCCCAGTCCAGCGCAGTCCACACCTGGCCAAGGTCGGTAAGCAATCTAAACCAGGCGAGCCAGTCATAGTCATAGATGTGAGATGATCTGAGGTTGGAGCCCAGATCTTGGCATTGCCAGCATTGTGGACTAAGTCCTCGATACGAGTACCACGCAATGGACAAGGACATAAAGATTTCATCTGAAACAATTGACTGCGGATGATCGAGGCACGGGCACAATATGGGTGCTGATCAATGATGTAGTGGTTGGCGACAATCTTTGCAGTCCTCGTGAGGACTCAAAATTCTGCCTGCTACCACCGCATGAGGTCTCATAGCATTAAGCCCTCTCTGAGGCATGAGCTTCTCTTGCCGCATCAGGAACCGGCATTTGCCGGTGCTCACATGCCTGGTTTACACAAACGCACTACTGGCCTGGCCTAGTCTTCTGCAAGGACCCGCATCCCCAAGGAGCCTCAGAATTTTGGCATCGCCTGTCCCCCGCTCCTTCCATTCATTGTCGACGAACCGGAGGAGCTTGGAGCGCTGACTGTACATCTCCTGAGCCCAAGCACCTACGCAACACCGGCTTAGAGCAACTCACACCAAAGCCGAGTCAAGGCCAGAAACAAAATTGAATCGGGACAAGAATGGCAAACAACAAGCCGCACAGGTCTTCAAACTCCAAGCAGGCTGTAAGCACATCTCTGTCGATGTGAGCAAGAACCTCATGTTTCTACGCTTCATGCAATTCAATCAAGGCCACTTCTGGCGTGCGAAGTCCCGAATCCTGCTAATGCTTGAGAGAACTGTGCGCCAACCGGCCCCTACGTCCGATCCACTGATACGCAAAAGAACCTGCAACGTGGGCAAACGACATGTCATGATGTCAACGGGTGCCTCTTCCTCTTCTTCACCGGTCTCGACGTGATCTCTGACTTCCAACGAGACAGAGGGAGCCCAACCAGGAATCTGCGTGACCTCGTTCGTTGCGAAGGCCAATCTATCGCTCCCCTGCAGAATCATGCTTGGCCGCCCACTTCTTCTTCAAGAACATACTGCTCGTCATCCTTATGTGCACAACTAAGCACAACAGTCTGTCAGGCTTGAAAACGCGCCTGCGCCCCGTTGGCTGTTGCTCCCGCCCACCTTAGGACACATCCAAGCATCCACTGGCCGACCATCAGAATCTCAGAAGCTACAGCGAATCCACGGGCGGCACAGGCCCGTCGATGGAGCCTTCTCTTCTGCACCCGTCGCCCTGAGCTCGGCATCCACTCTATTCGTCTCAACAGCTGCTGCGTTGAAGTTGTGAGGAGACCACGCTGCTCCCAGGATGCCTCCAGTGACTTACAACGTGCTGTGTCAACCCTCTCGCTCATCCACATGCCCACGCCCTAACGAACTATCATGAACTATCTGTCCACTTCCGCTTGCGCTCAGCGTCTTCGGAAGCCGTAGGATCGGTCGGTCGACCAGATGGATGCATGTCGAAGTCAGCTCACCATACGATCCTTACGTATCCTGCGTAGCTTGTCAGTCAGTCTTGACGAAGTGGTGTCAGGCAGATGCTGCATTGTGGCCGATCGTGCAGAGAATGGGTAGCCATCGATGAGGTCAGAGTCAGATGACAAAAGACGACCTTGCTCACTCAAGATGGACGCCCGCACGACGTCCATCTCGCCCGATGTTCGCCAAGCTCCTCAACCTCCGTGTTGGCCCGTTAAGAACGCAAGACAGATGCCGATGCTGTGAAGCCCGGCGAATCAAGTCTGTACTTTGTGAAACCGTGCTCAGCGACGTGTTCTTCGGGATCGTTTCTGGATCCTACTATCATCACACAGCCGTTCCAAAGCTTGGGAATAGGCTGCTCGTAGTCGGCCACTTCTGAAATCTGGAGATGTTAGCGCGTGAGATCGGATTCCCTGTCGCATGTAGCGCAACAATTGAGCAGGAGACAGGCTCATCAGCTCTTCCTCTGAAAAATTGCGTTGGGACGGAACACACTCTTCGCTCGAATCTGATGCGTGTTCCTGTACTCTTTTGCGGCTCCTCTGCTCAGAAAAGAAGCGTTTGCAATAATTAGTTACGAACTCCCTGTTCGACACCCGCCTCATGCTCGTCTTGCTTTGGACTTTAGCCGGCGGAGGCTGCCGCCGACCGCCCAAGCTTTCAACCGCTGCTGTTTGCGGCGAGTGGTTGTCGTGGTGCTCTGCAGGGGGTTCGCTGCTTTGACCACTTGGCTTGCGATGCGCATGCCCGCTCACGTCACTTGAGGCGACCAGTGTACTCGCATGACTAGCACAGCTCGTCGAGCTTAGCATGCCCTCGGTTCCCGGGGACACTGGAGAAGTGCCGGCAGAAGGCGGATTGTGGGGTGATTCATGTGACTCAAACCCCGAGGGCATTGTAGTTGATGCTGCTTCCAGGGTGGATTGGTCGATGGCCCAGAAACCTCCAAACGAAAGAGGAAAAAGAGAAGAAGCGAACTCAAAGCCAAGGGGAACGCCACGGTGGGTCAGAGCCTCCGTGCAGCAGATCCGGACAAAGAATTTCAATGGCAGCCGGGCTTTCTGAGAGCTTGGAAGGAACACGGAAGCCTTTGACTCCGCCTCTGCTGGCAGTGGCAAGTCCAGCTGCCACAATCCAATGGGTGCAGGCTCAGCAACCTCTGGCGGCGCAACCGTCAATCGCAAATGCAGTCTCATGGCCGGAATGTTTGCGAGCCACTCCACATGGAGTGCTTCTTGCTTCATGACAGCTGCAGTCAACACAATTGCAGGTCTGGCAGGATCGAAAGGGGCACTGGTTTTTGTGTAAAGACTGAACTGCCATCCTGGCCCATGATCCGGGCAAGGGTAGTGGGCACCCCATGCATGCAAGTTCCGGGCTATGTCAGGACCAAACTGACTGCGTAGCTTTCTCTCCATCCTCACTGCCAGCACAGGTCGCTGCAATGCTGCCGAAGCAGAAGCTCTCTCCTCGGTGGTCCTTTTGCATGCTGCCTCGGGCGACGAAGCTGCGCATGCTGCGCGTTCCATCTCACCCGGCTTCCAACCAATCGCTGAAAGCCCATCTGCAGAGACTTGCCATTCCCCTGGATACAGTGGAGGCTCCGGTGAAATGACCGCCGCCTCTGTACTCTGCAGAGCACCTCGACTCGGGTCCCCGCCAGGGTCTGTTTGCGGTTTATCGGGAGGCACCTGAGCAAGCTGTGCTCCCATCATTCGTCTGGCCCCCACGAACTTTGCAGATGTTGAGCCGCCTGTCCGGGCTGCTCCATGCACGCGATCGTGAACAAGGCGGTCAAGCGAGCCGAGGGACGGATTCAGGAGAGGAAGGGGCAGTCGCCGAGGCAGCAATTCGAAAGTCTCCGTGCTTCGATCTGCGAAGAAAACTCTGACGCCAGGCTTCCACTCCTTCACTGCATTAGCTTGCAGCCGTTGATGCCCGAGAAAAGTGCCATGCGATGATCCCATGTCCATAATGAAAACCTGGCCATGCCAATTTCGCAAAAGCAGGGCTTGCTTCCTGGAAGCCGTGCGTGTGCGCAACTCCACATCTGGCTGACGACCGGCTTTTTCAGAGGCTGCAATGTGGCGCCTGCCAAAATGGAACCAGGCACGATTTCCCAAAATGATGGGTTCTGGCGCTGCGGAAGCTGGGATCCGCCATATTTCGATACCCGCATCGCTCAGCTGGCCATCAGGAGGCGAGCACCATTTTGGTATTTCACAAGGCGCTTCATCCTTGCAGGGGGCAATGAGCAACGTCGGCGCCAGAGGCTCAGCCATTGCAAAGTGCCGAATCACCGAGCCAATGAGCCAATACGCAAGTTCTCAACAACGCGCACGGGCTGTCAAGGGGCTTACATAACTGGTCGAGAAAAACTACTAAAAGAAATTTGATTAAGAGATCATAGGCAAGTCAGCGGCCTCCTGATGCTGCACTGAAGAGACTCCCCGAAGATGCAGCCAAACCTCCCGATCTTCAGAAAAGCGTCAAACCTTCAACGACTTGATGTAAGCATCCGGCCAAATAGGCTGCTGCCTGTGGTCGCGATGCTGCCGCCACCAAAAATTCCGCCGCTCGAGCTCTCGGGCAGCCCAGCAAAAAGGCCCCCAGTCGCACCGCCAGTGCTTCCGGAGAAAAGCCCACCACCAGCGCTGCTGGAATTGCCAGAGTTTCCGAAAAGGCTGCCACCGCCTTGCCCAAAATGCCAAACAAAGATACTTACGCGACATGCCAACTGCAAAGTTCCTCGCCCCATCGCTACTAGGGAGAAGGCCAGAGAAAAGGCCACCGGCAGTGTTGCCAAAGAGGCCACCGGTGCTGGCAGCAAAAGTCCTTTATCAAGATTTGACAGCTCATCTAAATCAAAATGCTGCCCACTCAGCTTCGAACAAGCTTGCGAATGGAGCTGGAGCCTGTGGCCATCGACTGCACTGCGACAGAATCACCAAACCGAAGCTGCCCAAGCCCTGGAAACTGCCTCCGATGACGTCGGTTTGTTGTCGACCTCAAGATGTGACGGTGCCTGTAATGGTTTGAAGAAGTGTTACTGGCGGGCCATGGCCAACGAAAACTAGATAGCGCGTGAAGCAGCTGAAGCTGCAGATGCAATGAGCAAGTGATGCAGTCGCTGTGGCGAGCGAGTGGGCGCCTGACTGCTCAAGTGCCTGCCTGACTAGACTAGACCTGACTAGACGTGACGTGACTTGACTTAAACACAAGACTTGACATGACCGACTGGCTACACACATGGAGTTGGAAGTAAACAGAGCTGTGAGGTGCGGTAAAGTGTCTTGAATGCTAGAGTGAATGACTGAAACACCTTAGCCAACGATAGCGCGATCTTGGTTTACGTGTGCATTGTGTCACCTGCATCAGGCTCCTAACGCTTGCTTCTGCGAAACTCTGAATGACAGACTACTTTAGACCGCGTCTGCTGCGCCTGCAGAGGCAAGTCTAAACTCAAGCTTCCCTTCTCAGCTTTCGTGATTTAGCAGGCAGACGGCCCCTTTCTTCACCGACAGGCTGCAGCACCCTCACAAAGCTCTTGGGGAGAGCAAACAAACACTTAGTCACGTCCTATCAGGACTCAAAATTGTCAGAGCTGGCCTGGTGAAGAAACCCCAGCAATCATACATCCTTTGACCCTCGCGAAGCACCAACCCCCTGTACTCAGAATGGGGACAACCCATAAACAGCAGCTCACAATCTTCCAGAAGCTTGTTCAGCTCCACGAACCCATCGCGAGCCAAGTGAACATCCGTGCACAACACTTGCGCACCTTCCCAAACCAGAAGACGACGAAGTTTGAATGCTAAGGACTCCCGCCAGTCGTCGTTGTCGGGCTTAAAAGCCATACCAAGAATGCCACATCTCGCTCCCTGCAAACTGCGCCTGCACTCGTCAAGATCACGCTTTGCATACTCAACGACGCAATCCGGCATCGTCTCGTTGACCAGCATTGCTGAGTGACCCAGGGAAAACGTGTGCCGACAATAGGCAGCCAACTGCATGGTATCTTTGAACAAGCAGGGACCGGCCGTAAATCCGGGGCGTGGGAAGTCCTTTCCTCTGGGATAGCGGTGCACGATAGCAGCCCGAAGCTTCTCGAAATCCAAGCCTTTGGAAGTGGCAATGTGATAAAACTGGTTGGCTGTGCCAAAGGCGACGTAGCGCCATGCATTCAGAAAAAGCTTTGCTGCCTCGGCTTCCTGCAACTCAAGAGTGATCAAGTCGACCTTAAGCGGCGAAAAAAGTGCCTGGGCATGGGCCAAAGCCCGCTGATCCGAGCCTGAAATCAGTTGCGGAAGGCTCCGCAGCTCCTCCACGGCCTTGCCCTGGGCGATCCTCTCTGGACAGAAGCTCACCCCCACCCCCAAAGGCAGGTCAGCCAGAACCCTGGACGAGGTGCCGGGAAAGACCGTGGACCGCAAGAGGAGCGTTTGCCCGTTGCGAAGAAACGGCTTGAGCTCATTTACACAGTCCTGAATCACTGGGAAGCAAGGATTCAAGTGCTCATCAACCGGCGTTCCAATGGTAACCACGACGACATCGCATTCGCGGATGGCGGATACAGATGTCGAAAATAGCAATCGGTCGGAACACTTGTCCAAGCAGTGCTGCAGCAATGCAGCACCGCCAGCCTCAAGAAAAGGAAACTTACCTGCTTTGATTGATTCCAGCCTTTTCGAGTCTTTGTCCAGAATTGTCACCACATGCCCACACTGGGCCAAAGCCAGCGAGAGTGGCAGCCCAACATGACCAGCACCCCCGACAACAGCAACTTTCAGAAATTTCTGAGCCTCTGCCTCTGCCTTGGTAATCTGCAGCTCGGGTGGCCGAGTAAAGCCCCAACAGTCGAAGAGAAGCGGATGGCGCTGGAGCGGAAGGCTGCGATACCGTGTGTGAGGGCATCCAATGAAGATCGCGTCGCTTGACCTTCGGCGAGTTCACAACTGCAAGGCTAGAACCTCCAAAGCGACCAACAGAACCGAACCAACTCGTTCTGAAGCCAGGAGGCTCCAAAAGAGCTTCTTCACTGACAGCAACATCACCGGATTCAGGAGCCATATGAGCCCCATAAGCATCAGAGCACACCACAGATGCACCCTCCCTCTGGAGAAGCTGTTTCAACTTGAAAGCAAGAGAGTGAGAGCAAACGTCGCTGTCTGGCTTGAATGCCATGCCCAGGATGCCACATTTGAGGCCTTGCAAGGTGCGGCCTTGACTCCGGAGATGCCTTCGTGCCTGTTCCACGACACTGTCAGGCATCGTCTCGTTCACCAACATCGCAGCATGGCCTAAAGAGAAGGTGTGCCTGCTGTAAGCAGCCAACTGCATTGTGTCTTGAAATAAGTGGGGCCCAGCAGTAAATCCAGAAGTTGGAAACCCTGCTGCACGCTCATATCGATACATGATTGCCGAGCGAACTTTGTCGAAATCTAGGCCCTTAGACACAGCGATTTGATAAAATTGATTGGCAGCGCCAAAGCCGACATATCGCCAAGCATTCAGAAACAGCGTTGCAACCTCCGCCTCCAGAATAGACAGCTCCACCATGTCAACTGCGAGGGGGGAGAAAAGTGCCTTGACGTGCTCCATGGCCCGAGCAGATGACGCTGATACAATCTGAGGGACCTGGCTTAATTCTTGGATGGCCTGACTGGCTGCGAGCCGCTCGGGGCAAAAGCCTACGCCGACTTCTGGGCAGGAGTGTAGGCTGTGCTGAATGCGAGCGGAAGTACCAGGGAAAACTGAAGATCGCAGTACCAGGGTCTCCCCTCCTTTCAGGAAAGGCTTAACAGCCCCAACTGCCTCATCAATCAACGTACAGTCTGGAGTAAGCCGTTCATCTACAGGAGTGCCCACCGTCAGGATCACCACTGCGCAGCCCTGTATTGAAGACATTTTGGAAGTCATCTTCAGGCATTCGGAATCCTCCAGGCACCGTGCCAACATCTCTGGTCCACCAGCTTCCAGAAACGGAAGTTGCCCCTTCCGAAGGCCATCAATATGTTTATCTTCATCAACTAACACGACATGATGTCCTCGATCTGCCAGGACAAGTGCAAGGGGGAGCCCCGCACGGGAAACCCCTTTGACAACTGCGATGCGCAGTGGCGCAGGCAGCGAGCGCTTGCGAGAGGCATTGCTCATACAGTTCGAACCTAGCATCTATCGCTTCAACTGCATCTCTGGAGGCTTTGCAACCCTTGATGGACGCATATTCGAAATGCTCCTATTTGCGTGCTGTGTCGACATGAAACCGTGGATGTTTTCTCGGCTAAGCTCAGACAGGCATCCCACAAATGCTCCAGCTTCCAACGGGCTTCCCAACAAGTGGATTTAATCTGGCAGCTGAGTGTGGAACCTGAGCCTGAGTCTCGGGTGGGTCTGCCTTCAGATTGCAGCACTGCAACTGCAGAACTGCTGCAGTCCACATCTGCGCTGCTCTGCGAATTGAACTGACAAGGGTCCCCACCTTGTTCGAGCCGAACGACATTCCTCCGATTGCGCGGAATTCGCAGGGCTTCCCCAGTTGCATCGCCAACAATTCGAAGGTAACTCGAGACCCCCGCCGCTGAACAAGCCACCGGCAGTGTTGGCCCTCCAGCCAATGGAAACATGAAGCCCAGTAACATGGAAGCTGAGACCGAGGTGCATGCGAGGCGAATAGCCCACCACCAAAAAGACCAGAACCGGCTGAAGTGCTGGAAGAGCTGAACCTGCCATGTCAAGACACCCGACAATACAGACCTGCATAAATCATTCCTTCCGAAACACGCCGGACAAAGACTCAAGGCCCAGACAAAGATCCACCGGTGCTAGCTGCAGTGGTTGAAAATAACCCACTGCTGGAAGCGACAGAACCTCGCATTTGTCGGCTTGCAGCTCTTGGCAAGTGGCCCAAGCCAGGATCGTTGGACTCAGGCCAGTGGAGGAGAGAGAGCTAAACAGGCCACCTCGCAGGCAAAAGTCTGGCTTACGATCACGGACGTGAAGTAAGCTTTCGTCCCGGCCTGAAGTGGCCGCACCTGAGGACACATGCAGAGCGGTAGCTGGTTGCAAAGCGGCACAGCTTGGCAGCCAACCTGTCAAAGCAGTCCCCGACGACTGCAACCTTTAATGGACACATTAACTTTGCCTGCTGTCCAACGGCAACACAACAGCCGTGATTTATGATGGATGTGCTCAGGCCACAGCGGGCTTGCGGCAAACAGCGAAACCCCCGCGAACGGGTTGCCGTTATCCCCGGCATCTGACCTAGTCCAGAACACGCCCTATCAAACCAAGCATGTACAGCTGAAGCGATGTACATCACCGCTGCGGCCGCGGCTGAGGACTGACCTGGGTGGGAGATCAAGCGGAACATTAGTGACGACAGACGAACACTGGCTTCTTTAAGGTGGGCCTGAAAACCCGTTTGTGAAACTAAGATAAATACAAGCCAATCAAATGTAAAGCGAAAAGTGAGAAGAGGTTAAGAACAGCCGGATGAGACGCTGCACTAGAGGCGCTTGTGGTAGAAAGCCGAAGAATAGCCATATTCGGTCTGCGCTACAAGAATTCTAAGAAGCTAGCAAACAGACGAAGCATGTAAGCCAAGACAACTGACTGCTTTCACTAACACGCAAAGCTTGAAGGAAGCCGAACAGGCAGCTGAACAGTTATGCTTCTTGGATGTCAAATAAGATTTTCTTTTGTGGCAGCTTTCCGGTAAGCTTAATTTCTATTGTCCATCGGCAGTTGCGCAAAGTTTTCACGGGAAGATATGGCGTGTGTTATGGCATCTGCTGGTGTGCTGCAGAGTTCCCTACTGCCTTGTGCATCTCGAACAGCCTTTTCATGTAAATTGCGTCTCAACTTGTGACTTTGCAGAGTCTTTCTACAATACTTCATAGAGAGGTGCCCATCTCGTTGCAAGCCGTATGCTTTCTCGGCAAAAGGGATGACACGTCTTCGACAAAGTGTATGGAGCACAAGTCTTCGAAAGCATTGGATAACAACTATGTCGAAGGACTCTCTAAGGCATGGCTGAAGGAAAGCTTTCTGCAGCACAATGTGACTGTTTCCGGTGTGGTTTCTCGAGCTTGTCGCTCGTTCGGAACGGTTCGGGACTGTGCGTAGAAAGAGAGGAGGGCGGAGCGCAACCAGGACGGTCGACCCTCGCCACACGCTCGCGAAGAGGGAGCCACGTGTGCGAGACGGACGTGAAAATGTCACACACAGTTGGACTAGGGCAGTATCGTTGAAGGATGGAGCTTCTCGGTGGTACAACGTCAACAGACAGCAGCTGCACTCCGACTCGACGGTTACAGGTGCGTGGTGCAGCAGGTCGAGGCCAAGCCAAGCTAAACAGCTTGAAACAAAAAGCATGGCAGCGTTAGATTAAAGCTGCAAGTGCGCCTTTTGCCAGGGGCCAGAGGTCAATAGGAGATGCAAATCCGCATGGAACGGATCTACTTGCGCAGAGGATTGAAATTCACGATTTGGCTCGTGACATCCGGCCGCTCTGCCTTAAAGCAGTGCCGGTACAGAGTTCAACGCTTTTGGGCCCCAGCATGGCGCAAAAACATTGGAAAAAGAACAACTTTTTCAGAACCCTCGTGATTGTGGCCAAAGCCAAACTGCCAGGAACACCTGCAATGGGGATGTTACGAAGCTCTGGTCGCTCCATGATTCTAGACAGGCAAGCAACCCGAAAGTTTATTGAAACACGGGCCATGCTAGTCCGAGAACGATCCGAAATGGGCTCCTTTCGCTGTTGCTGCCTGAAAGCCCCAAATCCCTCCACTTAGCACATGCACAAGAACTCGATTTAAGGCTGAAGACGCCGACGGCAGCTGCATCAGCAGCTGCAGCTTCAGAATCGTTTGTTTTCGGCTCGGGCGTGTAGACCTGCGCTGAGAAGATTTCCCGGACCCAACAGGATTGATGCCACCAAGCTGAATGTGACGCCGGTGTATCAAAGTGTCGAGATGTTCGGGAAGGGTAGCCGGGCTTGGGCCGTCGTGAGACAGATTAGTTTCACCCTACTGGCGAGTTTGAGCTGTGTAGTTCTCACGTCTGGTCAACTCCACAGACACGAATGCGAAAGGCCACCCCAACTGGTCTATAGACGGCCTATACTAGGGCCTATACACTGCTATGAAAAGCGTACCTGTTCGACACACACCGGAGCCGTTCTTTGCTCAAGACCTGTGCGAAAGCTTACAATCCTTCTGCTCACACCTCGGCCATCTCTGCTCTTGCGCTGTTGAACGCCGTTTTAAACCTCAGTTGCGATTCTACGCGAAAACAATACTTCCTCCAGTCAGCATGTAGGCAGCCAGCTGCTGTGCAAGATCTGCATCTTTGAATCTGAGTGAAAACTGCTCCACCTTTTGTTCATCCTGTCACAGACGCTGGAAAGCTACTGGACAGCTTGAGCCCAATGCCTGCCTCCGCGCAATCTATGGTCGTCCATGTCCAGATTTTGTCACCTCAGACCACAACTCGAAGGAGGAGCAGCAAAACAGCCAACACGATGTGACGCGAAAACGACGTACTCCGTACGTACTCATCAACTCCTGCTGGGCGCCGAACTCCCTGCATTAGACGCGAGCTCACAGTACGGAGGGTAGGCGATTAGATAATGGTTGGCGACCTCACTGCATGCTCATCCCTCGCATCAATTTCTATCAAATGCTTGGCATCGCACGATCTTGCCGGTCTTCTCTTGCCGCATCATATACCGAACTTTGCCTGTTACCTGGAAGGTGTCGATGGCAGAACGAAGTCGAACATTTGGGCGAAACTACTCAATGAGCTTACAAACATGAGTTCCAGATCACGAAAGCATGGACACAATGAGCAACTGTCCGGGCCCGCCCTGTTCCGAAGAAGCTTGGAGTCACCAAGCCCTCTTTCCTTCCATTCGCTGTCTTTGAAACGATACCTCGGAAAACCAGTGTCGGCAGAATCATTAATTACATTGGATCCTGCCGCAAAAGCCTCCATATTTGCACACAGGGCACAGCTTCGATCTTTGGGAATAAATTTCGTCTTCATCTTCCTCGCCGGTGCGAATCTCCTGCCAGAAAAGGCCATGCTGCGAGCGCAGGCCGAAGCTTTGCCCAGTGAACGTAAAGACCCAACTTGCCCGCAGCGTGAACGTAAGCGTTGCAAATCCTGCACTCTTCCGCTATCGGGTCCTGGGGTTGCAACGTCACAGTCGGAGCCCAGCCTACCAAAGAATCAAAGAACAGCTGAGGATGAATTCCCAGAAAGTCTCAGACCTGCCGTCTTTCTCGATGCTGGGTCGACAGATGAAAACGGCACCGCGGCTCAAGAACTGCGCACTCCGGCCTGGCACAACGGTGACCTCTTCTTCCGGCACCAGATCATCCTCACGCTGACTCATGCTGATGCTGCGCGTGGACCAAGGAAGTCGCTGCGCCACTTTCGCAGACTTGCCTCGCCCCCTTCTGCAGCTGCATGTGCTGGCGGCGTAGGGCTGGCATGGGGCTCGCTGTGTGGCTCGCTGTGCGGCTCGCTCGGTCGTGGTCCAGGCCCATCAGCCTAGTCAATGAAAGTCGTGTTTTTCTAGGTGTTTGCTGTCACTTCGTTGTTGAGAGGCGTTTCTGGGTTCAGGAGTTTAGAATCCAGGTTTAAACTCGAAACCTCAAGAGCGAAGGCCGTCCATGACAGACTCGGAAAAAACACAGGCTCACAGAGCACCCAAAGGTCTGCTCGATCAACAAATCGCAAACGCCCCGTAAGCAAGGATTGGCAATATGAAGACACTTCATCAAATCTTGCCTGCCGGGGACCATTCGAAGCGAATTGCTAAAGTGCGAGGGAATCGGAACCCGATCGAGTCAACCAACGGACTGAAACAAACTCCAAGCATAGTGCCCGACTGCGCGCTCAAGAACATTACGTTTGCATTTGGATTACCAACATCCACCACCACTGCCACCACGACGACCACTGCTCTGCTATTCCGACCACTACCACCACGACCACTACCACTGCCACTGCCACTACCACTACCACTACCACTCCTCCTCCTACTCCTCCTACTGCTACTCTTGCAATGCTACTGCTAAGCCTACTGCTATTCTGCTATTCCTACTCCCACTTATACTGCTTCTACTACTACTACTACTACTACTACTACTACTACTGCTACTGCTACTACTACTACTACTACTACTACTACTACTACTACTACTACTACTACTACTACTTACTACTCTACAGCTACTACTACTACTACCACT